TAAAAGTTTGAGATGTGCCCCTCAACTTGTTCCTTTACATTGTACATACTAGATTTCATGAACCCAGTGGCTTTAAATTGTCAATTCGATTGCATTTATGTCAAATACATCTTCAGAAATTAGGTTAACCCGGTAAAAATTTTAATGTTCATTCCGGTCGACGATACGTTTCCGTTATAATATACATTTTGAAAAATAATTTACAAGCAACATCTTCAAAGTAGAAACTTCAAGCAACGACACACATTTTATTTCATTCCGATATGACAATTTTTGAAGAAGTTACGCCAATTCGAAAAATAACTAATAATTTAACCAACCAAATGTTATAAAAAAATTTCTGCATATGATTGTGTATATGAGCTGACCCCTTACAGTGTAAAAACGACCAAAACATTGCAACTGAAAGTAGGTAAACAAAACAATTTTCCGTGCCCACATAATACAACAACGTGTTGGCCAACATATTCTTTACTATCTTATTAGTACTTGCAATTTTTTATATTTTTTCACATAGCTTACATTCAATTATTGGCGATTATTGCAATTAGGAAGACTTGATTTTAATTTTATCAGAAAATATCAACTATTTGTTTATTTATTTACACAACGAAACAATGTCGTTCTCTAACGGAGACTGATTACTTTTCTTGACAATTACGAGTAGTCGTGCCACGAGTGGTTGGTAGTTGTGTTATTATTTTTTAGTGAATAGCATAAAAGCTATAATAGCAGGAAGAAGAAGAGAATAGAATGCAATTTTTCAATAAAAGTGTTGCATATTTTTAGGCGTATATAGATTATTATCGTTAATTTGAAATTGATATTTAGAGGATTGTAAAAAGAATAAAAAGGGGAAATATCTGATCCAAGATTGGGTGAATAGAAATTTATAATGAGCCGGTGGAACATTAACAGTAACAGTAGAACAAAACAACACAGAACAAAACAGTAGTTAAAACAAATAATTTTTGTTAGTTGTTTTAACTACCAATGGGCAAAAACGAGCTCGCACTAAAATCCACATCATTGTTGAGAAGTTTTTAAAAAAAGCTTAGGTTTCGGTTCAGATACAATTGATGACGATACCAAATCATTTAAAGAAGGGCATTTTGTCAATGACAAATATACCGTTTTTGGTCCAAGCAATCAAAAAAACATGCATCCAGAGTAGAGTGCTATTAAACCTTTAGGTGCTCCTCAACATTCCTTTTCCATGTTAACTTATGACCAAGGACAGTTCCGAGGTATTCTGCTTCAAATGAAAGGTTTATGAGTACTCCACCCAAAGATTGCAGACGGAAGTTTGGGATTTGATGTTTCTTAGTGAAGAGTACCATTTGTGGGGTTTACCACAGGACCATTTTGTGGGGTTTACCACAGGACCATTAGCCTGGGCCCAGTTAGACAGAGTTGATAAGACAGCCTGCATTATAGCTGATATAGTCGGCAGAAAATTTCCGCTGACTAACAGGACTACATCATCAGCATTGGCTACAACCTTTATTCTAAGATAGTCGAATTTCAGCAGTATCTCATTTATCAACAGTAGACATGGTAGATGAGAAGGAAAACAACCCCCCCACCGTGGTGTTCCTCTGTTGATAGATTTCCTTACGGAACTCCCTCCTATAATTCTGTTTTCCAGAATTCTATCAATCCATTCCGTTAGAAATGAGGAGACACCTCTACATTCCAGTACAGAATGGTCAGATTCCAGCTTAAAATTATTGAAGGCGTCTCTTTTAATTCCGAGTAATGCAGACAATGTGTAACCGGAGTTTTCCATATTCTTCTCAATGTGTCCGACCACCTTCTGTAAGGCAGTATCCACAGTTTGCCCTTTGATGTAGGCGTGTTGGGATTTACTAATCTTGTTCAAATTGACTTAATACTTAGCTGGCTGGAGATAGAACATTTGTTCCATAAGTGGAACTTAAAAATGATTTCCAGGCGCGTCGATCTTGTGCAAAGATTTTTTCTAATTTGAAAGACCATGCTTTGAAGTATCGTCCTCCACTTGATCTTTCCATTGAATTCGTGACCTCCACCTTCTGCGTCAACCATCAGTACGCTTGCTTTTATGTGCCTTAGGGCATCCTCATCCATTCTCATAACATGGCTTCGCCACCGTAGTCGCTGCAGCTCTATACTACTGACGATGTCGATGTCCGAGTATAGATGGTAGAACTAATGGTTCATTCAGAGGTGGTCTTGCTTCTAAAATGCTTACTTAGACCATAGTAGTATATGTTGGTCAACGCTATTCTTCTCTGAATTTCAAAGCTGACGTTTTTAGTGTTATTTATGGCGGTACCAAGGTATATAAAATCTTTGACGAAGCTGTAGTTTTCAAATTCCACAGTTGGTTCGAGTTCGAGCTGATGGTATCAACGCGCAAGCCGTCCATTAAGGCTTGCGCGTTGATACCATCAACTTGGTCTTTTCTTTTCAATTTGTTCAAAGATGGCTGTTATTGCTCTCAATGTTCGACCCATTATGTCGATGTCGTCGAGTAACATATGCTGTTTGGCGTACACAGTGTCATTTGTGTTCACATTTGCATCTCGTATGACCTTTTTCAGCAGGATGTTAAAAAGGTCACACGACAAACTGGACTGTCGATTGCGGCTTTCAAATCGAAGAATAAATGGAATGAGTCGATGTGTTTTTCGTGGGTGTTTTCCAGGAAAGTGAAAATCTGATTAATCGTGCATTTGCTAGGCTAAGAGCCGCTTTGGTATGGTCTAATAATATCATTGACTTGGCTTCAGTAGGATGGATAGCACTTTATATGCGATGGGAAGAAGACTAATTTCTCTATAGTTGGCACATATCGTCTTGTCTCTTTTTTTTGCATTGGGCTTGCATTCCTCTAGCGATATTGTATTAATCAGCCGGTGCATGCTCCTTAACACCATCTGACCACCAGTCTTGAATGGTTCGGTTGGTAACCGGTCAGCACCTGCTGCTTTATTATTCTTCTGCCGATTAATTGCTATTCTGACCTCATTTTGATCCTTAACACGCTGTCTGTATCTGTCATAAGGTTTCCAAGCAGGTGGATAAGTTGAGCGGAGTAGGCTTCTGCTACCTGGTGTACCTTTTCGCTGCAAACACAGCTGTTGTGTTTGCAGCTTTAGGTCGCACCTTTGCTGCTACATTAACCCTTTCAGTGTCAAAAAAATTTGTCGGAATAAAAATCTAAAATGTTTTATTTAAAATCATATAAAGGGACATAATTTAGAAAAAATAGCAATCGTCATTTTAATCCTCGACCAGTTTCGTCTGTTTTTTTTTTTTGAGCAAAAACAAAAACATCAATAGTATCGGTAGATAGGATAACCGAAAATCGCAAAGAAAGAGAGTACTTTTAAATGTCGAATATATTTGACAAAAACACTGAAAGGGTTAAGACGGGTGCGCACCTTGGCTGCCAACGTCTAAAACACTGGATGAATTTTTTGAATTTCCAATTTTTGCATTAAAATCTCTGCTAGGAGATTTGGCCAGGCCAGCGGTCATATGCTATTCCTAGGCGCTCGTAAGATATGTCTTGGGTCTGATGATCTTTCTCTTCCGTCGGAGTATGGGCGCAAATAAGACTGATGTAGAAGAACTTCGCTTTTTTAGGGATTATAGCAAGCAATTCGGAGTGAAGGTTTTTTATAAATTTGGTATGTACGATAAAATCGGACAAGCCCCAAAAAAATGCCCTATACACTATTATCTGCATGCTTCAACATGGCCAGTATTATTAGACAAGTTTATTTCTACATGTAGGCGTTTGAAAATAACACCGATTTGTTCTACTTATTCAGGGTTTGAAATATTAAATATAACTGAAAATAGTGGGAACACAATGAATTAGTTTGTAATATTTGTTTGTTTGTTTATTATTATTATAACAATTAAAGTTTTTTTTATTATTTTGCGTTATGTTCTTCTTCTTCATCATCTTTTGCCGTTTCGTTTTCATTGATTGAACTTACAACTATACAATAGCTACGTATGTATGTATGTTTGTAATCCATTACGTTCAGGTGAGTTGTTTTTTTGTTTTGTAAAAAAATTAGGATAAATGTATAGTATTTGTAAATTGTTGTTGTTGTTTTTCTCTTCATGTTCAACAAAAAGTTTTGAATTTTTGATAGTCTCAAGACATTAGACTAGGGTGTACATGTTTTGTATTATTAAAGTGCAGCACAAAAATATATATTTATATATATATTGGTATGTGGTATTTGTTAAGATTTCTAAGAATCTATATATAGAATATAATAATTACATGCATAGTTATGTATAGAATAGTAATATCGTTTTGAAGTACAATGGTGAAAGGGTTTTGTGTTTTATTTTATTTTTTAATTTCTTTGTTTTTTTTTTCTTATCAGGAGTATTAAATTTTTTATGACACATAGGCAATAGTATAGAGTTTAGTTTAGTTGTTGTTAAGCCCAAAATTCAAATATGAGAGTTTTTGCTTTATTTTTTAAATATTTTTTTGAAAGCAAATAAAAATTTTCCTAGAAAAATCATTTGTAGAGAAATTTGTAAATTGTGGAGGCAAAAATTACAAAAAAAGATCAGGTTGTATACAAAATAAAGCAACTTAATAAATTGTTTATATCAAAATGGTTTGGTTTTATTTTATTTTTTTCTTATTTTCCATTTATTCTTTTGTATTTGAAACATGTTCAAGTCCTCATATAATCTTACGGTTTTGTTTGTGTTTCTTTATAGATTCTTATCAACTTTGATTTTGGTCCGAAAAAATTAGCAACAAAAAACAATCGCTTATTATCCTAATAGGCTATTAAAAATTACAAACAAAAAAACAATAATAGAAATAAGTTAATAATAATTATAATTATAAAAAAACTTGTAACAAAGAGACTTGTTTCTGAATCCTCCCCATCAATGTTGTTGGCTTGCTGCTGTTGTTTCATTTTCATGGTTCAAATTTATTTTCTTACTCTTTATTTTGTTTCTTTACTCTTCTATTCATGTCTCACACCACAAATGGAAAGAAAAGTACTGAAATTATTTAAACTGCATGCTGGTATAACCGTAAAAGCTATATTGGCCGTTTTACAATATTTATCACGAAAATCATTTAGGGTTGTCAATAGTAAATCAATAGATGGCGTTGCCGTTACTTGATAGAACACTTTTAGGTGTATAGCTGGTACGGCAATGGTTGGTGGACTATTACCGGCGGCAGCATTTATCGGTGAGCCATTATTCAAAGATGTGGAATTGGCGGTGACATTTAAATTTTCATTACTCTTCGCCAATGGATAGTCTTTCAGCAGACGGTTAACAACGTACGTAACAATATCTTCAATATTTTCAGCGGTTAAATTTTGTGCCAAACGACAATGGCTAGTGAGGACATCATCGGATAATTGGGTTAGTTGGGTGGTCGAGGAGGCCATACCTAAAATGGGAAACAAAAAGAAAAAAATGTTTAAATAAGTAAAAAGACGTTTTTATGTCTTTCGGTGGAGAAAATCCCCACCAAAAACAAAGGGATCTGATGAAGATCAGTGGCGAGATCCGAAACTATAGTCACCCCTGCCTTACCCCCTGGTGGACAGTGTCATACTTTCACCAATAATAAATTGTTGCTTTTATAAAAAACAACAAACTGGCATTACCCCTGACTACTTTGCAATAACAAAACAAATAACCCGCCACCACTACTAAAAATAATTTCAGGACAAATAATTCAATTGATGCCCTTTTAAGAAAATTTATGAGAATATATTTTGAGAGATTCTCCAATAAAATGAACAGGACAATTGAAACATAGATGAATGACGCTGCTGGTGTAAAACCTAACCCCTAACTTTTAAATTTGATCGATGTCGAATCATTAGCTCAGGCATTACAGCATTTGGAGTGAAGATAGTTTTGTATTCGTTTCGCTGCTGGTGTAAAATCTAACCCCTAACCTTTAAATTTGATCGATGTCGAATCATTAGCTCAGGCATTACAGCATTTGGAGTGAAGATAGTTTTGTACTCGTTTTAAATAATTGATAAACAATTCCCTAATTTACTTCCTTCCTTAGCAGACTCGAGACAGAATATTTGTTCTATAGGCCGGACTTAAAAAAGATTTCCAGGCGCGTCGATCATATGCGCAGTTTTTCCAATTTGAAAGATCATGCTTTGATATATCGTCCTCTATTTGCGTGAAACATCAGTAGGTTCGCTTTTATATGACTTTTAGACTGGGGCATCCTCATCCAATCGCACAACATGGCCTAGCCACCGCTACAGCTCGATACGACTGACTATGTCGATGTCCGTGAATAGATGGAAAAGCTCGTGGTTCATTCGACGCCGACGCAGAATCTTTCGTAAATCTTTCGGATAATTTTTCTATCAAACACCCCAAGACCTGCTTACGTAAACCATAGTTGCAACTGTTGCCTGTTACCGCTCGCAATGTTCGACCAATTATGTCGATGTCGTCGGCGTAGGCAAGTAACATATGCTGTTTGGTGTATAGAGTGCCATTTCTGTTTACCTTTGCCTCTCATATGACCTTTTCCAGCAGGATGTTAAAAAGGTCACACGCCTGCCACCTTGCCTGCTGGTGCATGCTCCGGGACCACCGGCCTTGAATAGTTCGGTTGGTAACCCGTCGGCACTTGCTGCCTTATTATTCTTTAGCCGATAGATTGCTATTCTGACCTCATCTTGGCTAGGTGGTATAGACTTATTGGTTCTGGGGTATCTTCTTCACTGTTACTATTTGATACCATAACCTTTGAGAAATTATCCTTCCAGATCCTCAACACGCTATCTGTATCTGTCACCAGGTTTCCATCTTCATCTGTACAGAAGGATGTGTTTGTTTACTCGTTGGTAAAATTTCCGGACTTTGTTCTGACTTTGTACATCGCGATTTGGTCCCGCTCACGTTTTTTGTTCTTTTTCTGAAAATACATTTCGTCTCTATCTTTTTCTCCCCATATTTCTCTCATACCGAAAGAGGGATGGGACATTTTGTACACGTGGTAATTCCAAATAGTGGTAGATTTTTTGATCCACCCAGAACTAGGAATGTCAAACTACAGCCTCTTTGAATGGAAAATCAGACCATGAAAATACCCCTATGGGTATGGAGTCGTGACGTGTATATGTCAAAACATATGTGGAAATCTTTTTGTAAACATGTTTTACACCCTTCAAGAAATGCGAAAAATCCAGCTTAAATATTTAACCAACAATTTTACCTATTTTTGTTGGCCGGTGGGTCCCATCTTCCAACTTTAAGCCGAACAGACAGACTCCAATTTAACTGAAACGGATGTGGTCCAAAGAAACATGGGGTCTAAAACCAATATTATTTCTATGAGACGCATTTTTAACGTATCAAAGTGTCCAAGTCCTACTTCCCCAAGGCAAGATATCGTGTCTCAAGCCTTAATAAGGTAATCAGCAGACTCCTTAATTTCACAGTTGATTACCCCCTCTGACCCCTTTATACAGGATAATCACATTAAATTGTTGCCGTTCATGATTCAGACGACGGTCGAGTAGCGACTTATGACTCTCACCGATTCTTCCATTAGGATCAATCTTGGCCACTACCAAAACAGCCTTTGTAGCTGACCCTGAAGGTTCCTATGCAGGCTTGCCAATAGATTCGTCTTCTCAAAGACCTTCCCCCTTTCACTCTTAGCACCACTGGAACACACACTCGAGACTCCATTACCCCCATTGGCATCAGTTTGTTGTCTAAATATGATGGCCAACCAACAGCTTCCACCTTGGTGATCGTTTTCACGACAGAGGGGTTTACGATCCGAAACGACCAGAATGTTACTCGGCCAACGTTTGTCACTTCAGCTTATTGTATAAAAGCAATAGGGCTGCTACAACAACAATAACCTTGGAAGATGATATGCATCTAGTAAGAAAATCGTTGACCTTTTCTTACTAGAAGGTAAGTCACTGATGACAGTGGCATTCATGCATTCTCCTCCTCGTATGGTCCCATATGTCAGCTGGAAAGCAATATTGGTTTTGGTGGAAACCATCAAAAGTCGATGGAAAGGATTTGTAATCTAAATCTAAAACCCAGGTTCCCAACAACCTTGGAAGATGATATGCATCAAGCGAAAATCGTTGACCCTTTCTTACCAGAGGGGCAAATCGCTGATGACAGTGGCATTCGTTAATTCTCCTCTTCTCGTCCCATATGTCAACTAGTAAGCAATATTGGCTTTGGTGGAAACCATCAAAAGTCGATGGCAAGGATTTAAAAACTAAATCTAAAACCCAGTTTCGAATGCAGACGGTACCCTGCCTACAAATATACACTGATAAGCACGAGGTCACATAAAACACCAGCATTAGGTAGTCAACCTAGAGGGTTGAAGACACCAAACATGTCGCCTTATTAGAGCAGGAGATCATTGATCATTTTCTCCTCGAGACCCTTCCTTTAGATACGCGGGCTGTCCGGTTATATTATTCGTATTTTCCCAATAAATACACTGTTCTTTCCACTATCCGCATCAATTGGACCCCACCGAAAGGATATATTAATATCATTTTAATTGTAGCTCATGACGATTAAAATTGTGAGATGTATTCTTTCAATTGAATTTTCCCGATTTTTCTGAGCCATTATATTCCCCAGAGCCTATTACAAACCCCTTAAGGATATTTTAATGCTATCCTTTTCAATTCCCCATTTCTTAATATTGATTTCTTTTTCATAATCGAAAATGTTTACTCACCTGTTGATACATAACAAACAATAGCAGCACAATTATTTTCATAATTCCAACGTCTTCTTATTGATATCGTGTAATCACTAATTGAGCAACCAGTCTCTTCATCTGCAAAAAAGAAAATAAATAAAATAGACCCCATGAACATTATTAATCCCAATGAAAGTAATCTATTACTACTTACACTCAAAACGATCATTGTGTGTATGTGCCCACACTTGCCATTCCACCAATGCTTCACGTGGTAATGCTGGCACCACAATATAATCCATTATGGCATTTGTTGTACGGCGTTCCCATTGGCGTCGGGCCTCGGCAATAAAGGCTGGATGTGTTACAAAGCATATGCCATGGACGACATCACGTAGCTGGCCCTGGGCATTCATTGCCTTGGCAATACGTGAGATATGGCGTAGAGCTAACTTACATTGAGGGCGTATGCCACCTTCAATGATTGTCATACTGCCAGGTACTAAAGCAATTTGACCAGATATATAGGTAATCTCACCAATCTGTAAACAGAAAAAGAAAAACAAAACCAAATGAAAGAAAGAACACAGAAATGGGGGGTGTAAGTAAAACCAATAGAACAAAATTCCATTGCCATTGTTACCTTGGTGGATTGACTGTATGGTCCAATGTTGGCTGGCGCCCAATGTGATATACTTTGTACATGCATTGTATTCCGTTTACAGAGCGAGGACTCATTTGAACTACTGCTACAACTGCTGTTCATAACATCAGCGGACTCCGCCGTCTCGGATTCTTGTATGGAAATGGTGGCACGACGACGTTGTGGCGATTTAAAAGCTATGGCCTCAATAATAACATGACACTCTTCTGGCAATGGACATTCCACACAGACGCGTGTTGGTGGATTTTGGAAATTTACAGCCTGGCCGTAAATACGATTCAAGATTTTATATTCACTAATGGAACGCACATAGAGAGTTATATAACAATAATTAGTCATTTCATAATTGTGTTCGATGGCCAAGGAACGTAGGGAGTTAATGGCAATTTGCATGCCCTCTTCTAGGGTGGGAGCACAGCCTGGAAGAAAAAGGAAAACTGGGATCAATAAAAAGCAAATATAAAACAAGTATGAAGAAAAATGAGTTCCTCTGAGTAGGTACTCATTCTCCTTGGTAGGTTTTTCCTAAAGCTGAAACCTACCCTGTATACCAGCAACCCACATCCAGCCTTTATTATTTATCGATACCATTGGTCGATTATTCAATGGACGGAATTCTCTTTCATATTTCAATGGACTCGGTGGTTGTGTTCCCAACAACCCACCACCACCGCCAGCCAATGATGACATCCCGCTACCAGCATTACCACCCGCCAAACCGCCTGTAGTCGTTAACGCCATTGACGATATGGCCAATGACAAACTACCACAAACTGCTGCTGTGCTACTGCCCAACGGACGTGGCGGGCCAAAACTACCGGCCTGCAATGAGGCAGCACACAGAGCAGCCGACGAGGAGAGCAACGAAGATGGTGTCTGTTCATCAACGCTTGCGCTCTTCGTCACAATCGGTATGGGTGATGATGAGGTGGCCAAATGTCGACCAAATGAATTGCTGCGCGATATCAATTCATTCTGGCTGAGAGATTCACGCATGCGTGTCTCCTTTTCGATGAGTTCCAATTCAGTTTCACTGAGATCGGGATCACTGAGGTCACTGTATGTCGATTCATTGAGGTCACTTATATAGTCCAGAGATTTTTTCACAAATACATCACAGCTCTGTTGCGGTTCTTTGGGTTGTAGCGATAATTTGGTGAAATTTATATAGCCCACAGGGCAGATCGGATCGGCTGAGCTAATAACAGTTTGAACATCTTCCCTGTGAAGAAAACAGAAATAAAAAATCAGTAAAGAGTTAAAGCTACGAATAAACAACAACTTACACCACAATACGTTGCTTGAATAGCGGGCAGTCTAGGGTGAATGTTTCATATTCACCACCCTCACCGCATACATTCAAACCGTATTTATCACGCATTTTTAATAAATGTGGTTGTATCTCTCTTAGAGATTTCCCTAAATGACGATCAGGAACTAAACCTAATGTTGCTACCTATAAAAAATTACGAAAAGTGTTTGGATTAGATATATCGTATGTTTTGGCATATATTTGCGGAATACCCACCTTTATTAATATGGCATGTACTTGACAATCAATCATTTCCTGTAGCAGTTCAGTCTGATCTCTCCTCCATAGATAGGCTAGTGATACCAAATTTAAGCGACTGCAAACATTTTCCACACGAACCCGCTGATAATCGGAGAGTATGGCACCAACGGCAACAGCTTCGGCTTGTACTTCTTCCTGCAAAGGAGAACAACAAGTTATTAGTCGATTTGAAAGTATAATTTTAGGTTAAAAAGTTAGCCGAATAAAAACCATTTCACAAGATTTTTAAGATATCAAGGGGCGTTTTTCCAGGGATAGAAGAACCTATCGAATATCTCCTAGAGCCCCAAGTTCTTCTAAGATGCTACAGGACTTTCTACAGAGAGAATATATGATGTGGTCTAAACAATAGTCTCATATGGTACCTCCAGAAGCCCATCGAAGCTTCTGGAGGTACCATCTAAGTTGCTTGTGACCTTCAGTTGAACTATTGTGGCCTATATCTTAGGAAGTATGGACTTCTTCGTTAATGTAAATCGTTCTTCGGAACTTATATAACTTTCTGAAGTTTTTATAATTTTCTTGAGGACTTCTATAGGTAAAACACTTTTTGGAAATATTTTCAAACTTCTGGAGGATTACTGGTCGGAATATCTTATATACATAGAAGACCTTCAAAAAAATGTTCATGAGGATTTCTATAGAAACACTACTTTTTGGTGGACTCCTATGGAAGTCTTTTGGTAAGGTAATATGTTTAGAGGTTTTCTAGAGGTGTATTTTCTGGATGTTGTCTGTTCTTAGAAGATGTTGCGGACATTTATTCATGTCAGAATGAGGGTCTGCTATACGAACTATAACTTCAGAAGGCTTTCTAGATCGTTGTGGTTCTTAGGGGAATATCTGGAGAGTTTTTACCCCTTAAAAAAGGTTTTGTGTAACTGTGATCTTGCCTATCAATAGGAGAACTTCTGTATGTATCCTGTTCTTAAATTATTTTCTTGGAGATCTTGAGACTGATGTAACTGTGAGATGGCATTTTGGGGCTTCAGAACTCTAACGTAAGCCTCAAAATAAAGTATTGATGTATTTTAAAGGTCTCAGTGTATAGGTATTTGGTCCTATTGGCGTCTTACAAAAGAAAATTGGGATTTTTTTAAACCACGCTCTATTGTCTATTAAAAAAACAAGATATTTTAAAAAATTAAAGCCAGTCTTGGTTACATGAAAATATATTTAAAAAAAATCTGTTCCTCTTTTGGCTAGTGGAAAAAAATGTTTTAAAAAATTAACGCCTAGAAAAAATCCCATCAAAGGCAGATCAGTGGATACAGCCTTACATGAGGTGGTTGGTTGCATCGAGAAGAATATGGAGTCCTCTGGCTACACTTTGACATTCCTCGACATTGAGGGAGCTTTCAACAATGTGAAGCTGGAAGCCATACATTCTGCTCTCGTAAGCACAGGTATCCCCTCACTTCTAACGGAATGGATTGATAGAATGCTGGAAATCAGAATTATCAACTCATCCTTAGGAGAGAGTTCCGTGAGGAAATCTGTCAACAGAGGCACACCACAGGGAGGAGTACTATCTCCCCTTTTGTGGCTTCTGGTGATAAATGAGATACTTCTGAAATTCAATCATCTCAGGATAAGGGTTGTAGCCTATGCCGATGATGTAGTCCTGCTGGTTGGGGGGTAAGTTTCTAATGACAATTGCAGACATCCTGGAGGGTACCCTTTCAACCCCGTCTAGCTGGGCTTACGACAAGTGTAAACCCCACTAAGGCAGAATTGGCGCTCTTCACTAGGAAACGTAAGATTCCTAGTTTCCGACTGCCATCACTGGGAGGAGTGACTCTAACCCTTTCTGAAGAAGCAAAATACCTTGGCACCATCCTTCTTGAGGAACGCTCTAAGAAAGGACTGCTGGCACTCTACTCATGTAAGAACTTCGTAGGTAAGAGCTGGGGATTAAGACCGAGATAATACACTGGCTGTATATGACGATCGTCCTACCCATTCTTACTTATGGTTGCCTTGTTTTGTGGCAGGGGGTCAACAAAAAGATGCTGCTGACAAAATTAAGTTTAGTACAGGCTTCAATTCTGATCACCGGAGCGTAATGAAGTACACCGCAGGCAGCCTTGAACGCAATTCTGAATCTCCAACCATTGGACATTCTGATTAAATTCCAGGCGGCCAGGTGTGCCCTGAGGCTTAGGGAAACGGATGCCTTGAAATCGCTCAACTATGGTCATGCTGGCATCCTAAACATAACGCCAGGTTGTAGGGACTAGTGGCTCATTACCTCTGCCAGGCCTGTCATTCTTTACAGTAGGGAATTAGAAACATATAACTCATATAAACGTAACAATCTTTGTAGCGTTTTTCAAGCAAAAATCCTTGCAATCAAGAAAGCGGCCGAGATAGTAAAATCACTTACTGCCGACGACATGACGGGACCGGTGACTATATATGTCGATATTCAGGCGGCCCTTAATGCGGTGAAGTCGCGTACTATAAACTGAAAAGCAATTCATGATTGCAAGTCCGCTCTGAATGATATACTGCAGATAGTTAGTTTATGTTGCGTTCCAGGACATAGTGACATTGAAGGGAATGAGATAGCCGACGAGCTTCCTCGAGGGGACTCACAGTCATTCAATCTTCCGATTGAGAGATCTGTGGAACTAGTTCCTTTTTTAAAAAAAGAACGAGAAAGATCAATCCGCTACGTGAACTAGATCGCCCAACTCTAGTAGGCTGCTTAAAAAACATTTTTAAAAAATACAATCCTCTGTTGGCCATTTGAAAAAAAATATTTAAAAAATCCACGCCTCTGTTGGCTGCTTAAAAACATATTTTTCAAAAATCAAAACAAAAAAATTAAATAATCTACACTCCTGTTGGATACTTAAAAATAATTTTAATAGATATTTTTAAAAAATCCTCGCACCTTTTGGTTATTTAAAAACTATTTTTAAAAAATTCACGCCCCTATGGGCTACTTAAAAAATTTAACAAATCTACGCCTCTTTTGGCTACTGAAAAAATATTAAAAAATAGGTTTTCAATATAAATTTATTTTTTTTATATTAAAAAATATTTTTTTTTGCGTATCATAGTTTCGCTTGAATAACAACAGTGATAATATCTGTGTTGTCTTTTTTTCTGCGGCGCTGTTTTTTTAGTTGTTTTCATTTTCAATTTAATTGGTCAAATATTTATTTAAGCATTTAATAATATTTACTATGAAATTCATCATCATTGGCGTGCTTTTTTTCTGGTTTGGTTGGCATGTGGGGGACGGACTATTTGCGACTACGGACGACGGCATGCTTTATTTGCAATCAAATGTTAATTAAACTAAAGTCTCCCTCCTTTTTCTTTGTGAACAATAAAATGGGGCCGGAGGGATTACTTCATTTGTTATCTTTTGGGCCAATAAATAATATTTTTCAAAGATTTTTTTATAAATAATAAAAAAATAATTTGGTTAAATAATGTTAATAATGAATGTGGTTTTGGGTGTTAACGAGAAAAGTCAGCACTATTTGCCATGGGCTTTTTTCGGCGTATGGCGGCATGACTTTTTAACCTTATCGCAGGTTGAGCTTTGCAGAAATTATATTTGTTTTCACAAATTGGTTAAATTGTTTGCATTTATTTTGTATGCCAAATTATTAATATTATTGTTATTGTCCAAAAGACCCCATCCCTTTCCCTTTTCACTTAATTTGTGTTAACATGATTTTGCAATATAATTCACTATTACTTTCAACGTTTTGTTGCTGTTGTTTCCACACAAATGGAAAAAAATTGTAAATGTGAAAATGATGTACTAAAAATATATTATTATTATAATAATTCTTCCTCTTATCACATATATGTGTGAAAACAAATAAACAAACAACAGCATATAATAAATATGCACTTGCCCATCGATGGCAGATGACAAACATGGACAAGTCAATAAAATACGATTATACCCGGAACAAATAATAATGGATTAACACCAGGGGTAATAATAAAAATAAGACACATTTGAAATTCATTTTCCCGGGACCCTATATAAATCATTTCCACTGGGATTAATTTCACCATCCCGATTTTTAAGTATCTCTTTTCACGTTTATTCTGATCCCTGTTTAATGGATCAATGTAAAATAATTTCCTAATATGGAAAATTTATTTGTATTTCCATCGGAAAATTCCTCTAGAATTTCCAACGCTACAATGCCTTGAAAATGGGTCAAAATGAAATAAATATTTGTTTTATTTAATACCATAAGAGAACATTGACTACACACAGACATTGTTTGTTTATTTATGTTTGTAATTTTCCACAAAAAGTAAAAGTTTGCGGAGCTGCGGAGGATTATCAACATTGACAAAAGAAGTAATTAAACTTTTTTTTTTTTTTTTTTGGCAAATGTCAACATTGTTTAAGGGATTAAAAAAATTCATTTCAAAAACGCTTACAATGAAAATGCAAAAAAGAAGGCAATTAGAAACGGCTAAAAGTTCGAATGGGCAGAATTTTTTATGGGATCTTCAAAATAATAGTTCGTGAGTATATAAACCTATATTTAAAATACCTATAATGGGCCTAAACCGTTATAAGGAGGCCTTTGACAACTTGAAATGATAAATATAGTGAACATGTGTCTAGCTTAAAAGAGGTCGGGAGATATACAAAATGCCTTTATTGAACTATTTCTACCAGGAAATTTATTATCCCCTTACAAAGAAATGGCAGATTAAGGCCACCACGATTGCAAAACGCGCCAAGGACCTCCAAAATAAGTAAATAGTGGCTGGATTTGTATATGGGGCCATGATGGAACATGCACCTACAATTTCAGAAAGAAAATACACTGAGAAATTCTAAATTTCTATTTTTAAAAATCCATGCCTCTGTTGGCCACTTGAAAAAATATTTTTAAAACTTAAAAAAAATATTTTTGAAAAATCCACATCATTGCTGGTGTTGGAAATTTAAAACATCATCACTGCTGCAACCGCTCGCTATATACCTGAACTAAGACCAAACTTCCCAGCAGAGCCAGCGGGATTAGCGAATGAGTGTGATGAGCTTCGTCGTACTAACCCTACTAACCCCAGAGTCGGAGAACTGACGTTGGAGGTGAACAGGTTAGTCGACAATCATAAGCGGAAAAAGTTGCTAGAAC